CCCCCCACGACCTCCCCAGTGTTGTCCCCCCAGCTCTCCCTGTCTATGTCCAGTTGGACGCAGTCCCCATGTGCTTTCCCATCTGCTGCTGCACTTCCGTGCTGAGCCACAGGCACCTGCCCAGGGACTTTCTCACCCACCGTAGCAAATGTTGGATGAGTCCCGCGGCTGCCCAGCTCAGAAGTGCTGCTTGCAGACGTCGTATGTGTGGGGAGAGATGGATGCTGTCATTACGCCTTCTCTTTTTGTCTGCTGTCTAAAGAGGAGCTTAGGGCAGCATCCTCCTAGGTTCTCCAAGGAAGGTCCTCCAGGTCCTTCAGCCTGGAACATGCCCCCCCAGGCAAGGCACAGCCTTGACCCCGTTGTGCCTGCCGTGCCTCATTTGCAAACACTCAGCTGCAGGCTTGGCTGCAGCTGGGGAGAGGCTAGAATTGCTCCCAAGGGGAAGCGCTCAGCCTGGAGGGCTCTTTGGGCTGGAGAAGACACTCTGAATGGACCAGCAGCCTGCCCAGGACAGCAGGACCTCAGTGGAGCTGGCCTGCCCACAGCCTGCTCGCTGCGGGGCTCAGCGAACAGCCAGGAGGGCTTGGAGGGTGCTGAAAGACCTACAGGGACCCACACCCCAGCCGGATAACCCCAGCATCTTTCCAAGCCCTGTGGTCATTCCCTGCTTCCAAGGCACCCCCAACCCAGCACAGACTGAGCCGGGAGAAACAGGCTTGCAGGCGGCTGGCAGCTCACCCAGCAAGGTTTCGTTAATTGTCATTAGGAATTAACTGAGCTTGATCACCTTGGCATTGCTGTCCAAATTGGTGGATGCCATCAAACAGCGCCGGGCTGATCCCATCCAGGCGGGTCCCCGCTGTGTGGCATGCAGGGTGCTGCATGTGCATCCCGTCCCTCTGTGCCCGCGAGCAGCACGCCTGTAAGCAGCGACTGCAGCCAGTGGCAGAGGCGGGGGACAGTGTGAATCCCTGGGTCTGGGTGGCAGGGACAGCCTCACCGTGCTCCGAGGCTGCAGGCGGGTGCCCTGCGGAGCACCGCGCTTTGCAAGGCCAGGTGATTCACAACCTGACGGGTCTCTTGTCCTGCCTACCCGTCCCTTGGTGCCTGGGCCATGAAGGTGTGTCCCTACGAGAAGAGGATGCAGAAGGTGTCTCCTCAGCTCTGCTGGGTGCAGCAGTGGGTGCCCAGAGCCCATCCCCTCCAGGGACCCTGATCCAGCTCGGGTTTTGGTCCTGGGCTAAGGAGGGCTGGGGCTTGGTAGGGTTGGTGGGGTGGGTCTCAGCCAAGACCCCCTGGGGTTGGAGGATGCGTAGCCATGTCCTGCAGGAGGTTCCGGCATCCTCCTCATCTTCTTTTTCCCCACCTCCCTTCTGCCCAGACCTCACAGAATTTCAGTTTTCACCTATCCCATAAGTGAAATGGGCCAAAACCCTTCTCCTGCAGGATGGGCTGGCTTGGTAGGGTTGGTGGGGTGGGTCTCAGCCAAGACCCCCTGGGGTTGGAGGATGCGTAGCCATGTCCTGCAGGAGGTTCCGGCATCCTCCTCATCTTCTTTTTCCCCACCTCCCTTCTGCCCAGACCGCACAGAATTTCAGTTTTCACCTATCCCATAAGTGAAATGGGCCAAAACCCTTCTCCTGCAGGATGGGCTGGGCCAGCCCCGGGATGGGAACAGCCACCCCCATGGCATAGACTGTGCCGGGGACCTGCAAGCTGCTAAACAGGACTGCTCTAAGGATGAACCCATTGTCTGGACAAGAGGCAGCATGTGTCACCCCAGGACTGGCTCTCAGTCTCTTTGGCATGCTGGAAACTTGGGGAGACCCATCACGGAGCCCCACCAAGGTTGCTGGGCTCATCTGCCCCCCATGCTAGACTCCTTCCAGCCAGGCTCTGACCTCGGACCCCCTTGGTGAGCATGCCAAGAAGCTGCCCCCATGCCAATGGGTGGGACCCAATGGAGGGACCTGTGGTGTGGTGGGAAGGTGTCCCCTGGAAAGTAGGGATGGACTGTGGCACCCGTTGTCTCAGTGCTTTGGCTAACGGCAGTATAGGGCTCGGGCACATCTCAGCTTGGCACAAGCCCTGCGGTGAAACCGCCGGCATCCCCTGCTTGCATCGCGCCAGCGCCGTGGGCGTCAGCCCTGAGTCGGTGGTGCGAGGAGAGGCAGGACTCTGCCTCCCCGCATCCAGCCCCAAATCCTGCAGCAGTGGGATAGACACACTCCTTTCTCCGTGCTGCTCCCCTGCCGAGGTTTGGTAGCAGCTTTGTGCCTCGCAGGCGGCAGGAGGCCCTTTGCTCCCCGCCGGGCTTGCCTCCAGATGTGCTCCAGATCTGGGGCTCCTGCGGGTTCGGGCCGGGCGGTGTGAGCAGCTGGGAGCGCAGAGCCCGGGGGCCCTGCCGTGCCAGACGGCAGGCTGGATGCAGCCCAGGGAGAGGCAATAGGGAAGGAAACAAGGAAACGCTCTCACCTGGAGCAAGAAAGCAAAAGTGCCCCCCTTTCTGGTAGGGATCCCCCAGAGCAGCTGTAAAAGCCAGAGAGGGCTGCAGTTTGCATGCCAAAGGGATTAAATCTGTGCTGGGGTGTGGCATGCGCTGTACTGGGGGGATTGGAAGAGGGCTGGGTCTTTCTCAGGGTGGGTTCCTGCTTTTCAGGTACCCCTGAGATTAACCACGCTGGCTGCTGGCCAGGCAGCGTCCCCGGTGCGCGCACCATCCCTGCGTCTGTAAAGCCACAGTGCCCGGGGAGCCTCCTCCCGCAGGGGCATTTTGGGCACCCCGACGGTGCAGCTTTTCTCTCTTTGGGCTTTAGGATGTGATCAAAGACCAGGCAGAAGTTTTCAGCTCCATCTTGCTCCTGTCGTTGAACCGAGTTCTTAATAAAAGTCAGCTGTTGGTGCTCCCCTGGGGCAGTAGGATTCTGTGCCTGACCTTCTCCTAAGTGGCTGGGGAGATGTGGAGGACCCCACATGGGTTGCACCATGAAGTTCCCCCCACCCATGAAGTGCTGCTTGTTCTGCTTTAGCACGAGCCCC